ATTTTAAGTGACGACCTTTTTATCTGCAGGAAATTTCGTCAGTTTACGGAGTGCACTTGACCAGCAAGAGGGACTTGGAGACACTACGTCTGAAATGGGAAGAGGCAAAACAGAAGCTATCCCGCAATGCTCAATGTAATATCTCGTGCTACTTCTCAGATATTGAACGAGATGTTGAACTTTCAGTAACGCGAGAGACAATGGAAAATGAAATTTCTGATATAATCGGAAATGTAACCACAGAGCTCATGCTAACCATCAAGAAGTCCAAGGTATGTTGTAATAAAGTTCGAACTCTAGTAAATGTTGCAATGAAGTTAATACGCTATAAACGCAGGTGCGGGAATGACGCACTCTTGTTGGTGAGTAGGTGTGTGGACGCGCACATCGCGATGGTTATTCATTCTAATGGGTTCAACGGAGGCCTCATGCAACTTTTTAGAGCCATTTCTCTGTGTATTGAGCATTAGAGTACTCGCCACCTCCCTATAAAGCTTCTACTCCGAAGCCCAATTTTAGTGCAGTTTCCGTGTTCAGAATATTATTTTCCAGTTTCGTTCCATCGCGTAGGTCACGGTGATCAACACGCTTGTGCTATCGGGCTGCTCAACTCGAGTGCCTAAATTGCAAGAATCCCTACGAGCGGCTCTTCCTGGTACCAGACTTTACCGTGGGATTCATCCAGAAAAGTGTGTAGCTGAAGGAGCCGCACTTTTGGGTGCTGGCCTTGTCACCTTGAGAGACTGCGTTCAAGTGAACGAATCAGTCAGTGTACAGTCGGGCAAGTATATATGAAACTTCAAACGCTTACAACCTTAGATGTTATTTTCATTCACGTTGTTATTGTACTCACCTTGTTCAAATCCCTCTCTACGTTTAGATGTAACAACAACTTCGAAGCGTGGCAAAAAGAATTCTAACCAGGAGTGGCTGAATAAAACTACTGTTGACAACTATATCTGTGCTAATTTTAATGGATATGCTGGGTTTGATGCAAAGTTCGAAAAAGGTGGTTTGAACGAAGGTACGCGAATGTGGTTAACTGTGAACTTCACTGTATATAATGGTACTGGAGTTTTGTGTGTGATACGATGCGTGTACTGTACTTGTGAGTAGGGGACACTATTAGTATTGCACTTCTTTCTGAAGTACGCCCTGTGTCCGACAGTTAAAAGTATCGCACTACCCGGTATTTTTAGCTGTCGAACGCAATGGGGGGGCTACCTAAAGAACTGTAATACACACAGTGTCCCATACCTACATCTCCAGTACATAAATGGTATCGCAAAACAGAAGTAGTATTGGTACTGCAGTTTAAACACAAGCTTCAAATTCATAAGGAATTTATTTTGATACTGTAACATTCGTAAACTACCTGTAATGTAAAGAAAAATTGATAATTTTGACAAAGAAAGTTTCATTGCTGAACTGGTGATTTCGGTTTGTTTTTTCTGTCTGCTTTAAAGACCGTTTTATTTTGATATGACTCTTTTACATAAAATGTACATTAACGGTATTCAACCCCATACCCCTGGTTTAAACTGTGATACGGTACCACACTTACTTCAGTTTTCACACTTTCCTGTTTCACGAGAAAAATAGTTTCTTTGTTTTCAGTGTGTTTATCAGAATACATCTTGTCGACTTTGTAAAATAAGCTAAATTGATAGAATGATTTATTTGTGATTTTTACACTTAGTTTCAGGTGTTATGACAAAAGTTACACACTCTTAAATAGCTACAATGAAAACTCTACTATAACATTGAAATGCAAAACTGGTTCTATCAGTAGTTACCTTGTAATAACTAAGCTCGACTATTATTTTTCAGAAAGCTTTGTCCGCACAGGCCCACCTTTGCAATTGTTGTGTTAGTTCGGTTTCTTTTTGGTTTACAGCTTGCAAGGAAATTGCTGCGGAATTGTTTAAGCGCTGTTACCAAGTTGAATGCGACAAAGCAAAATTGGACTGTGGAAAATCTTTTGTGAAGATGTGCATTTATAACGCTAGGAAAAGTGGTGGCCCTACAACTGAAAATATCAGTACTTCATTTTCAAATAAGCTGGAAAAACAACCCGACGAAAATGAAAATGTGGAGAAAACAAACACATTTGGTAAACACCTACTCCCTACCTTGCTCATATTAACTGTATAAAACCATATGTATTTGAGTCATGAATAATGTTTGCCTACAGACGAGAAATTCAAGCCACCTGGAATAATAAACGAAGGCCAGACATGTTATTTGAATGCTTCCCTGCAGTGCCTTTTTTCCGTGAAAGAAATTGTGGACGCTCTGAACCAATGGTGCCCAGGGCCCAACCCCACCGAAAACCAATCCTTCTGTGCTTCACTAAAACTAGTTTCTGCCAAGTGGAAGGTAAATTCAAGATTTCTTTTTAGCCTGCCTTGTTTCGGGTCATTCATCAATTACTTCTTTTTCCACCAGGACTCGTCCGAGCTGATATCTCTCAAATGTATGAAAAAAGACTTTGAGAGCGTGATTGAAATGGAATTCAATAAACAGAATGATGCACAGGAATGCTTCTCAAGAATTTGCTCTGTATTGAATCACGTGCTTGCATCATCTAAAGTATTTGTCGTCAGGGAAACCTTTGAAGGTACATCTTTATTATATTTTTCTTCACCTTATCGTGTTCACTGTTCAACTGAATTGTCGTGCGACGAAAAAAATTGAGATGAACAATAATAGTTGCTCACATGGATTGAGATGAACGAATTGTCATATTATGACGAACCATTCTTCACTTTTGATGACATATTCGTCAATCAAACAACATAAATACAACGTTCGTCACGTGACACAGAAACTGTCACGAACGTGGAAGCAAACAAGCGCTAATAGCTCAGCTCTGGGTGACAGCTTTGTGCAGTCTCCGTAGCCGCGTGGTTAAAGGCGCATGCCCACATGGATGTTCCTACATTGCATTCTCAGGGGTTCTATTCCTATCAAACCGAATTTTTCTTTTCACAGTAATGTGACGACATGTACATTTTACAAGTTTTGACGATTGCGTTTGTGACGTGACGAAACTATCATCTCAGCCCTTGTGACGAACTGTTCAAGAGTGCAACTGAGGTGTGACATTTTTCGTAAAGAAACAACTGGAAATTTTACAGTGCTTATAGATAAAATGCCTCATACAGATTTGTTGGGTTGTCGTAATAAATAAGATCAGCAGACATGTTTTAACAACTAGGTTACAAAACTTTTAAAGAAAATACGAAGGATTATAACAAAAATGTTTTTAATTTTTGTCTCCCTTTGCAGGAATTCTCCGAAGGCAAATAACGTGCCTTGAATGTAAGACATCGCGGTACGGATCAGAAGACCCTTTCTGGATGTACCCCGTTGGTATAGTCAAAGACGGATCTTTGGTAAGTTCTCGATAGAATGAGAAATCCGGAGAAGGGCAGCGGAACAATGTTACGTGCACATACCAGCCACAGCAACGCCATAATGACGTAGTTTTTCCGTTCACGCTTTTAGTCGCCGAACGACACCGGCTAGCAGCCGACGCCGCCGCGATTCGTATTTTACCCTTAGTCGCGTTCGCGCACATCTTCTTTTCGAGTTTGTTGCGCGTTCTTCCTGCATCTAAGTCACGTTGTCCACACGGAGACGCAGAGATAATAGTCGAAAAGTGAACGCGTTGCGTATTTCAACAAAAGTCCACACTCAGCCAAATTAAGATAAGTTGTACGCTGCTGTGAACGCGGCGCACTGTTAAAACCTTAAAAAGAAAAATGCCAAATCCTTCGTAGGGAGCGAATCCTTCGTAGGTACGAAGGATTTGGCATTTTTTTTCGCAAGGTTTAAACTGTGCGAGCAGGGTCGGGCCATCGAAACTCGTGGGGTGTGGATCTGAACACGAATTGTGTACATCGGAAGAAAAACATTCAGATAGAATCATGACACAATCTGACACACAATCGAAAACATTAGGGCACAATCCGAAACAACGATGTAAGATCAGAACCAGTCACAATCGCACACAATCAAGTCTCAGTACGACACAATGTACCACAATATGTCACCATATTTATCCAACAATCTAAAACCATTTACGGACAATCACACACAATCGTAAATAATCACACAACATCGGATACAAGATTATAATTTTGAAAAATATGTCACAATATTTACCCAAAATCTAAA